ATGAGCGCAGTGCAATGTCTGTGTGTGGCTAGCATCGACTCATTTAGGCCCCAGACGAGACAGCCACAATCACCAGCCAAGGGTAAAACCCACATCCTTCAGGGTCAGCCTCAAAACAAGAACTTTGATTCGTCCCACTGTAAATACCCAACTGTGTGATTGGTGGCCCTGAGAAACGCGGTGCCAAACAAGCCACTGCAGAGATGCTTTCTGAACCATGCTAGTAATAGAACTGAAAAGGGAAGTAAAAGACAGAGCAGCGGAAATAAGCAGGGTGGGAACATAAACGTTGGGGGTTCAGGTCTGCTAGCGAGAAGGAAGAGGAAGACAGGTGTACAAGTCTTTACTCAACAGATGTTGAAACGTCCCCTGTGTCTGTTGAGGCCAAACGGAAGTTTGCTCGCAGGCAACTAGGCCTCACTGCAACAAATGTTCAACTGTCGCCCCACATTGCTCTGTGGGGATACACAACTTAGATAAGATGCTGCTCTTGTGCTCACATCTTTTCAACACCTAAGTTTCAACGCATATACAGGGTTTACTTAAGAGGAACGCTAGAAGCATTTCTAAGTAGTGGTGCTATTGGTTTGACTCATCAACATAACACAATCAGTTATTCAAACAGGCTATAACCAGGAAGCTGCCATCACAGTAGCCTTCATATTCACAAATGCTTCTTATACACAGCCTAAATATTGTTGCATGTAATCCTATAGCATAGTTACATAGACTTTACAGTTCAGTCAAAGTATTCAATGTTAAGTGATGCACTCTAAATCAATTTCATTATGTTATCAGGGGCCTATCAAGTCCATTTATATGTTGAATACAAATATTTACACTTCAAATATATTCAGTGAAGACTTGGGCCGGGGCCAAGGCACGTATTGCCCTTTGCCGTCCAGATAGAGTTTCACTTTGCCCCTGAAAAAGCGCCCAGCCCTTTACTAAAAAGAGCTTGTGTTTAATGTGTCTCCCTTTGGACGGGAACATATGTTTCTTTCTTTCAATGGAGACAGAGGCAGACAGAGAGACAGAGAGGAGAAGTGGAGAAAATGTGGGGGCTGAAGGAAGGAAACCGGTCGTATTGGGTGAAGCGTCCGTGTTTAAGGCCTGGCTGTCACCTTACTGAGCAAACACTGTCTCTGTGTGCAGCTGATATGGGCTTTGTGGAGGGAAGGCTGGGCACAATTCTGTAGAATTTGCTGTTCATGTGGTGCCGTTTAAGATCGAGTGCAATCTCCTAAAAGCTTGCACTTTTTACATCACTTACATTCAAATCTATCTGCATACACTTCAAAGCTCAAGGGAACAAGAGCAAACCAGCATCTCGAGTTATTCTGCAGCGAGGATAAAACACGTATCAGGAAATAAAAAGTCGCACAAACAAAACAAAGCGAGGCTGAGAGCGGCACGCCCATTTCTCCAAAACACAGCCATCGCCTAACATCGTTAATACCAGACATTTTATATCAAGCATTTTATTTGTTCTTCATAGACTTCCATAATGCTTTCAGATGATGCGACCGCTACTCTGAGAGGAGGCTAGTAAATCTACAACCTTTAGCATCCATTTCGGCTCGGGGTGCTTATTGAGCGCTGCCGTTTAGGCCTCATGTGTGCATTGGCCCCCCATCTCCCAGCTCTATCTTGTGGTTATGATATCATAGAGAGAAAACAAGGGCATTGTCTCCTAAGTGCACCCTGATACATTAAATATTCATCCGACCACAGAAACCCTTCTGAAATGGGGCCGGTGTGGAGCGCTGGCACCCCTCTGGCCCCCGGACCTGCAGAGTATAAGTCAAATATTGGCGGTCGGAGCAGACACACTGTGGCTACAGACAGGGTCAACTGGCCAATGAGAGCGCATTAACACGAGGTTGAACTGAAAGATACAGGTTGAGTCAATGTGGTGAAATCTTGCAGACTGATGTGATTTAGAAAGTCAGAAAAACGTTTGAGTGACTGACGAGGTTTTCTTTCATCAAGCAGGGTAGAAATACAGAGCTTCAAGTTTAAAAGGAGGGATCACTTTTTTAAGTGAATGTTAATGAAAAATAAATAACTTAAAATCAAGACTAAATTGTATTTTATTACACAAAGGTGATTTAATTGCTCCTTTTTTATTCAGTAAAGTTAGTCTTGTGTTCTTAACTTCACTATCAAGCATATAGAGTAGATATGAAGTCTTATCCCAATCCTTGTGGTATAGCTACACCCTTTTAAAGACTACAGTGCCTTCAAAAATGCACACGGATGCAAAATAAAAGAATACAAAAATGGTTTCATTTATAAACAGAGGAGAAAGTGAGAAGAAAGTTTGGAGCCACCTCCCAGTTGATTAGTGGTGTTAACAGTAACTGCGGCCCCTGGGTTAATGAGCCCCAGGCCTCGCCTAATGAAGGCTTCCCTGAAAATCCCCCTCTCCCGGCCCACTGAACCTCCTACTGGAAGCTCGGAACAGTGTCGCCAAACGCAGCGTGTCCATGCCAACTGGAACTGGGCCATGTGATTCACAGTTAGGTTCGAGTCTGTGTACGTGTGTGTTTGTGGGTAGCTCAATGATCACTTTCATCCCCAAAGAGCAGGCCAATTCATCTAAGACCACCATTGGCTGCAGAAAAACTGACCAATTATCATATTTCCCCCCCCTTGCCGTCTGTCTTTTTGTTTTTTTTCCAACCGGAGAGCAGTGGGATGTATCATTTCCCTGACCTCAGCCGTTTGAGGTGGTGTAAATCTCTTAATAACTACACAAGGACACATATAGTGGCTATATTTGGAGGGCTGCTTCCCCTGGCCGCCCCTGCTCTGGCATGGTACAGACAGTAGCCACAGTGTCTATGTGGGTGATGGAGCCGAGACCTGGCGCTGTGTGCGTACGAGAGAGAGAGGGAGTGAGAGTAAAAAGAGAGAGTGAGAACGCAGGCCTTCATTCCTTCCGTCGCAGTTAAAAGAAGGCTGACTGGCCACATATGAGTACGAATAAAAAGATAATAAAGAGCGTGTGTCGCCGTGTGTCCAACCAGGTTTCTGAGTAACGGCACGGAGCAAACTGGTGGGTCGGTCGGAAACACACACTCACTGTCCTTTCCTTAATGCTCTGTAAAACAAACAGCTGGGGAGCAGAATTGCTGTCTCTGCTCAGACAGATTAGTCATGACCTAGTCTAAGACACACACAGTGCAACAGATCAGTGTGTGTTCAAAGTAGTATTCTGTGCTGCGATTTGACTTTGAAAAGGTGGAATTTGTATTCAGCAGCTGCCTGTGGTTTAGACATTGTGTCTGTGCATCGGCGCGTCCCCTTTGTGCATCTGTACGCATGTGTGTTGGGGGACGTCAATGATAGATATGTCTATATAGTTCGTAAAGAGAGGCTGGAGGGGAGGCGGTGGGCACAAACAAATGGACAGAGCGGTAAACGAGAGGAAACTTTACCCATGGGTCAGCCTCTGAGGGAAGATATATTGCCCATGGGTCAGTGGAGAGAAAGGACGGGCAAAATCCATATTGGTCCGTCTGCCTTGCCCCCTTTATATAGTGATAAAATATTCAAATCCAGCCATTACTTCACATTAGGCTACTCTGTAGAGATGCCAGGGAGAAAACCACAGAATGTATACATGCCGGTTCACACACAGTTTTGGTGCATTGATAGTTACATTAAAATCTCTTCCTCCCATTAGAGGCATAGCCCTCATCCGGACTCTGACATTTAAGGTGTGTTCACATGTAGAGTATGTGCACGTATGTATGTGCGTGTGCACATGTTTTGTAGTGTCTGTGTGTGTGTGTGTGTGTGTGTGTGTGTGTGTGTGTGTGTGTGTGTGTGTGTGTGTGTGTGTGTGTGTGTGTGTGTGTGGGTGTGTGTGTGTGTGTGTGTGTGTGTGTGTGTGTGTGTGCTGTGTGTGTGTGTGTGTGTGTGTGTGTGTGTGTGTGTGTGTGTGTGTGTGTGTGTGTGGTGTGTGTGGTGTGTGTGTGTGTGTGTGTGTGTGTGTGTGTGTGTGTGTGTGTGTGTGTGTGTGTGTGTGTGTGTTTGTGTGTGTGTTGTTTGTGTGTGTGTGTGTGTTGTGTGTGTGTGTGTGTGTATAAAAGGCATGTTCAGAGTTTTTTTTTTTTCTTTTACCATCTCCCTCAACGGGACATCAAAGTGATAAGGGCGCTAAGTGTGTTGGTTAGTTTGTCCAGGTCCGGACAAAAGACATGCAGCAGATACGCTTCACTTATTTCATTCTCACATCCTGCACACACACACCGACACCAAAAGCTCTTTCTATCTTTCTCTATCCCATATGTTTAAGACTGATGACTATAGGGTCTGGTAGCTTGTCTGGGTGTTTTCTTCTGACTAAGTGCTGTGTCAGTCAGACCTGTGTGTGTGTGTGTCCGTGAGAGAGGTGGTTATTGAGGGAAAATCAACTCGCCCTTTTTAGTTTTTTGAGCAAGAAGGAAAGATAAGATCACTTAGCTTCAGCAGTTCATAGAAATTCATAGCTGACTTTTTGTTAAACTAAGAGAGAAAACAGAATTCCTTCAGCAATTATTTTCCACCACTTATGCTATCGTTATCTGCGGATGACGCGGCAGCAGGTGCAGCTTGGGTAACACTAAGTGTCTAGCCGATGTATGTCAAGGTCTGTTTTCATTCTAATCATATTTGTGTCTTTCGAAGCTAAAAACATGGTGACAGTGTCGCTCCCCTCTGCCTTATTTAATGTCTTCCTATGTGAGTGTTTGTGAATAACCGTGGAGGATATTGATGGGTTTTACAGTCCAGAATATATTTGGAGTAATTACAGTTCAGGATATGTCAAACTGCCACAAAGTAATTTGGCAGAAGGAAAAGTTTTCCAATACCATTCTTATTTTTGCTATTTTTGTACAACTCTGGAAATATAAAGTGCCACCCTGTGCCTATTTTCCTGGTTGTGTAGGTGGTAAATTGGCAAGTCCTTGATTTTTCTCTTAAACGTCCTCCTCATGTCGCTGTTTCAGGACACAGAGTGAAGATGGAAGACCCCCAGAAGATGCAGTTCTCGGACAGGCTGTCAGAGATCGAGCGCTACCAGCGGTCGATGCGGATAGGACAAGTGAACAATAATCCCCGCCCCATCCACCAAACCCACCTAAGCACCACACAAGGTGAGGAGCACTGATAACATACAACCGCAACCACCCCACATCCCCATAAGCCAATGGTACTGTAAAGTCAGCTTACATTGCATACCGCCATGACTTAGAAGTAAATAACTCCTCCAATGAAACAAACATATTCCTTTTGATTTGGCCCAGAGGGTAAGTAATCTGCAACACAAATCTGTAACACAACACAGTACAATCAGCTCAACAAGTATGAAACTTAAACAAGAGCCCATCAAGTACATTTTTCTTCTTTGGGCCTTTCGAGTTATTTCCCATATTATCTGGCCAGCCGAGGGGAAGCTCATGTCAGTTCTGTCCCCGGATGCCCTGCGTTGGAGGGTCCGGGGGCCCAGAGTGTGCAGGGTTGAGTAAGTGGTCAGGTGGCATGGCGGGTGCTGCCAACCCAGCCTGGCATAGGGGCTGAAGCCGGCCTCCGCACGCCACACACTACAGCCTCAGGAATGTAGCAGCCGCTCACTACCTTGGCAATCACGTCACTCCCAGACTGGTCAAATGTGCGGGGGCAGAGAGGGAGGGGGGATTGAGACCTAGACTGAGGTGGTGCGATGGAGGGGAGGGCGTTGTTTCATGCATATGTGTGTGTGGACAGCTGCGTGGGTGATGGTTGGAGTGAGGATGAGTGTTTGGTCTCCGTAATATGTCAGAGCCTCTTTAACAGGATACCATGTCTACACACACACACACACACACACACACACACACACACACACACACACACACACACACACACACACACACACACACACACACACACACACACACACACACACACACACACACACACACACACACACACACACACACACACCTCTTCCACCCACTCTTGAGTTCTCATGCCAGCTAATGAATCTCATTACCTTTGTATCAGCATGTTGCTGTGTACAGGAGAGCTTGTGGGCCGTGTGTGGGTGGAACTCTATCGCTGTGTATCACTAGTGTTTGGCCTTGTGCTTCGCTTAGCCAGCGCTGACTCACTAGTGCGGGCCTATCTAACAGCTGACTGCGGAGAACATAGGATCTGTTTGCCCTGCTACCCCATGTCCTTATCAACTGTTGATATGGATGTTGAGCCCTCGAACGAGAGAAAATGTCAGCCAATTAAAAAATACCCTTACGCCGAAAATAAACAGTGCGGATCTTCAACACAATACAGCCACTGTGATGATAGTTTTCAGATGGGTTAGAGTTTGGCGTGAGCGCTGTAGGATATCTGCCAATAAAAAGCCCCCTGCAGCTAAGCTTATACTGGGCGCTTTAAGTTTCTGACTTGAATACAGAGGGGGGGGGGAGGTGTACAGACTTGGTCCAGACAGCAGACGAAGAGGAGCTCTTTGCTGTGCCTCGCACGGGATTAGGGCGGGATTTAGAGCGTCATAGGCTTGCCAGGCTTCAAAGGGCTGCAATGTTGCGACACACACATGTACAGTACATACACGGTGAGCAGACACAACACATTAACATCAGCCGGGGCTGTCAGAGACGGTGAAGGCCTTGGAGCTTCGCGTTACAGCTGCCAACAACTGGAGGCCGTCTATAAGAAGTGTGTGAGTGAGACAGACGAGGGGAAGGGCTGTTAAAACCGCACACCTTAATCTGTGGTATTACCATCATGACGGCATACCGCAGGGCAAGAGTGGTAAAATAATTAAATAACAGAACAGAGGGCTTTCTCCCTCCCACCACGTCTATCTGTTGGAGTGTCTGAGCAGCTCACTGGAAACGTATATGCGGCGGCACACTTCACACGCAGCGCTCCCGTATGTGTAGGAATCATGCAGCAGACAACAACACGGCAGTACTACAAGGAAAGCTCAAACGAAAATAGACTTGTTGTAATAAATCCCATTTAGAGACACAGGGATGTGTTTACATATCAACAGCACACACGGCTCTGCTCTTGGCAGACCTGCCAGACACTGTTGTATTTTGCAGATACTTTAAATCCCGGGGCCTGTTTGTTTGAGAACTGCCGGGTGATAGATCGTCCATCAACACGTTATAATTAAATGGATTCCCGCCTTGCCGTTACAAAAGATGTTTTCCATTATCCGGGGCTGGAGCCTTGCGCTTCTCCCCCCTTGAAGACAGCTAAATAAGAAAATACAGTGTCATCTCCTCCTAAAGCCTCCTTGCTTCATATTGTTGTCTGAGCAATGAAATACTGTCTCAGTTTTCTTGTCAACAAGACGTGTCTCCAGACATCTGCTCAATGCTACCCTGGATTCTTAAAACACACACACACACACACACACACACACACACACACACACACACACACACACACACAGACGATTGCACCATAAGCACATTGAAAATACAAAACATGAACACACACACACACACAGAGTTGTGTGCTAGTGTTGCAAGTTCTCCGCTAGTGCCCCAGACAGACAGGGTGATTAAGAGCTCATTACAGTGCATGCAGTGACAGGATTCCTGCACGCTGGCAGACGCTGCATTCACTGCTTGTTTTTGTTCTTCTGTGGCCACAGGTAAGCCTGCTAGACATGTGGAATGATTCTCAGCAAGGGTGGAGGGAATGTGTATGTGTGTGCGTGTGTGTGTGTATGTGTCTGTGTGTGTGCATGTGTGCGTGTGTGTGTTTATTAAATGCGTGGTTCAACTAGTGCAGTCAAGCAAATCTGACACTCAGGCAATCAAGTACTAAATTGTTATTCTGGTTTTCAAAACCTCGAGAGGCAGCCGACATGTGTATACTGTACGTATCGGTGGGTGGCAATTTCTTTCTTCCTCAGATACAGAATTGAGTTCATCCCTTGACATCTAACTGTGACATTGCATTTTTTAATATACACGCAGATCTTTCTATTCTAAGAGAAGCAAACGGATGATAGAAAATTAGATTTTCCTCAAAGTGGAAAACAGATTCCAGTTTTACCTTGTTCCATTTTAACGGCAGACAAAACTCAACAAGCCCCTGGCACAGCCTCTAACAGACAGCCGAGACGAAAGCGGCTCTTTAAACTTAAATGTGTTTTAACAGCACGAGGGAAGACAAAAAAAAGAAATACAATATAATCATGAAAAAAAAAAAAAGTCCTGGCACTTTTGAGGCTGTATCATTTACCGTGTTATTCAGTCCAACACCTGTGTGTTCCCCTCTGCAGATGAATATCAGACACTAGCATAACGTTCCGCCATCGAGTTGAGTGCTCGATGCTTTGATGAGGGCCCAAAAGTGTGTGTGCGCCTGTCTGTCTGAACGTGTGACCCAAGTGGCGATATTATTAAAAATGTGCAGAAATAATATATTTCACATTTCATTTTGGAAAAGTACTCAGCGTTTATCCTGGGAGTTCATTTCATTCAAAAAATTCATTTTTTATTAATGACACTTTCACACATGTTGGCACCTCTGACTTCCTCCTGCACCACTGGCACACATCTGCTGCAGCTGTGCTTTGGCCCTCTAGTCCAGTATTTTCAGGCTGCGGCCTCTGGACTGGACTTAACTAGAGAGTCCTGTTTGATGGAGGACCAGCCCGATGCAGCTGTGCCCCTCCCGCCTCGTCCACAGTGACCACACTGTTTACACCACATAAACAAGCTGGCCGGCCCCCCCAGGTTCGAGGCGGCACTCTGCTACTGCCGTGGCTGAGAGGCTCACACTAATTCACACATCCAGAATGACATGATCAGCCAATTAGAAGCAAGAGCGAGACAGGAAATTAGCACCGTCAGGTAGCTGTGGTGTGGACTTTAGAGTATTGCCGTCACGCTAGTTAGGTTTCATGCTCATTTCTGCCAAACCCAAGCAGGAAGCTGCCCCTCTGAGGCCAATACAACCAATACGAGCAGGAATCTGGAACAGTCCTTTAGATGCTATGTTTTACTTCTGCACTCCATTATTTACATAATATGTCAATGGCTGCCACGGAGTTTATTTGTTATGGTGCCTGAAAGCTTCACTTGTGGTTACTCTCTTTTTGTGACCCTGAGATGAATAATTCAAACTGAAAATGTTTTTGTTCTTCAACAAAAAAAAGAAGAATCTTTTGAAGCCACCTCCTTGGTGGAAAAAAAGAAAGAAAAAGAGAAGTGAGAGCAAGTTGTTTTTTACCAGACTCAACTGTTTGTATAAGTTATAATTTCACATCAGAGTCAGGCTGAGTTTTACATTTCAGCAATTACAGAAACTACATGTGTGCCATGAACAGTCTCTATTGAGTCTGGGGAGAGGGGAAGGGTGGGAGGACGACGAGCTCTCAAAGAGAACATAGGATTTTTCAGCCCATGTGTTTGTTTTTGCTCACGTTATAAGTGAGGGCTCAAAAGACATATCAAATGTCCCACATAGCTGAGCCAAGGCCGTGTTCCTCCCCTCTCTAACACGCTCTCTTTCTCTCTCCTTCTCTCGCTGGCGTCTTTCTTTCTCTCTTGCTTGCTCTCTCACATTCTCTCCCCGTTGCGACGCCTAAGGCCTAAGCGAAACAGGAAGCCAGCACAAGGACCAGCATTCACTGTGTCTCAATGACACGCTTCATTACGGCAGGCGCATTACATGTCTTAGAGGCGTTGCTGGATCCGGAGTCACGAGGACGGACGCCATTTTGGCTCAAACATCTTTCTCAGCCTTTCATCTACACATGCACTTCAAAAGCATTGCATGTGTTTATTTGTGTCCTCCCCAAAACTACACTGGAACCACCCCAAAGCTACTTATTAGTGACGCAGTCGGCGCTTGTTCCCACTCCAGCCCCCGCCCTCCCCACTACTCAGCCCCGCCCAGGGGGCTGGTCTTCTTATTAACAGGGGTAATCTGTGCCTCTGGTATTGACGTTGTCTGCTGGCCAATCAAAATATTTGAAGGAAATGTTTATTTTCTTGAGCGAATCGCACCAGCTGCTCGCAAGCCTTTCTGAATAAGGCCATTTATGTGTAAGAATTTGCCATTGTGAGGTATAGTGCGGGACCTCTCGGTGACTGAGTGCTGATTTGGGCCTTTGCAGAGGAAGTGGAGGAGCTCCAGGGGAAGCACAGATCTTACACATTCTGAGCCCAGTGCGGCTATAGGTGAACAGCCCGGCGGCAGCGCTACACCCCCCTCCCTGCTTCTGGCATCCTCCTCCGTCCTAATTGCCACTACAGGAGGTTAGGAGTTTACTATATTGCGGTATCTCGACAGCGTAGGGCAGAGTCATAGTGATACCACATGGCCGACTGCTGCTCCCATTAAAAGCAAAGCTCCATGAGAAAAATGTGGTTTTATAATATGCAGGTTTCATACTTGAATATTAATGTACATTGTAGGAAAACATTTTTAATAATATGTAACTCAGCTCAGAGACTGGTAGATGCACAACCAATGTGCTGAGATGTGCACAGGGCTCCGTGCTAGTTGTCATGTAACATCTGCAACGTCTCAGACCGAGAGCAAACAGCCCCCCGTTTGTGTCAGCCCTCCTGCGGTGTGGCCGTTGAGTGTGAAGCAGGGTCCCACGCGTTGGGCCAGTAGGTCTTCGACCCTCCCTCGCTTCCTGACAGCTCTGCTGGACAGGCTAGTGAGTGTCCTGCCACTTCACAGGTCTCCGCTGCCCGTACAGTGTCTCGTCTGAAACACCCAAAAATATCTCCCATGCACCCACCAAGCATGTTTTTCCAAGCCTGATCTCACTCTGGTGAGAAAAAAAGCCCCTCCTCTACCCGATCTTCGCTGCTCAGTCAGCAGAGGCCAACCTGTGACAGGAAGACACATCTCCAAACCGCCAGATGTCAAGACAGTTTTGACAAGTCTGTCATAGAGAGTTTTTTTTGGACGCTGATCTAAATTTCTATGGCGCTACTTCCTCACACTGTACACATAAACAACCGACACATTTTTCTGCGTTCCACAAAATACTAAAAGGAAGATTTTAAAACAGAATTCCTTGACTGATTTAATTCTAATAATCTCGTTTTGTGTGTTACACCAGCCCTGTGGCAGGATCAAATGGACACCCCCGCTCTGAAGACATGCAAAGTGGAGGAAGACCTGAGACCATGGCCAGGTGAGACACTAATGCTTTACTAGAGACGTCTGTTTAACTCTGCTTTCGGCTACTTCTTCAAGCTTTCCTTTCTTCACATGAAGCTCAGCCTTTTTAGTTGGACCACAAATTCAGTGTGAATTTCAGGGAGGTGTGTATGTGTGCATTTTGGTGATTTTGTGTGTGTTAATAACAAAATTGTTTTGAAAGGTGTTAGTTGCCAAGAGAAAATCATCATGTGCAGCCCAATCAGCAAGCAGTTTGTGGGGATGACGTCACTAATAGGCAACAGCCTTAATTACCAGGAGGGAGCAAACGGGCTCTAAAAATACAGGGAAGAGAATTTAAGCCAAAGAGTGTTTACTCCTTTCAAATGGTACATCTCAGAACAAACTGAAGACTTCCAAACTCATTTATTTTAATTACACATTACGTCAGCCCATTCAAATAAAATGAATGGGCTGAAGAAGAGCAGCTGGAAAGGCTGGCATACACAGGGTGTGCCATTCGTTGTGACAATTTTGGAGTCCGTTTAGTTTTGCCTGTAGGGCTCTACTACACCCCAGAACATTCCTAGAGAGCCACCACCCTGCCTCATTTATTCTTCTTATTATCCTTCCTTCCCCCCCACTGCCTCTTTATTTTATTGTTTTATTTTTATTATAAGAAAATAAAAGGACTTTCTATAAGCTCTCTTTTGTACAGTTAAGCAGAAAAAAAAGACAATGTCTGAGACAAAATTACATATTTACATGTGTTACTGGTTTTATGAGGCGTTCTCTAGACACAGATTCACTGCAGAGCAAGACGTTCATGGTGGTGTGAGAAAAGTCATTGACAACCATGATTAGTAAAAGCATAAACTTAGATGCCAGGAAATCCATAAAAAACATGATGATGCTACTTGTAGTCAAATACTTAATCCATACAATAACAGCAGACATGGTCTAGGGTCAGCGAATCACACATCACGCTGGTGGCTTTACAAGCAAGTATCATATCTCCATAGAAATAGATTTACTTAACAAACAAATGTATTAATCATGTCGCCATGTTTGTAGATGCATTATGAAAATCTCAGGTTTTCTGTAATCACAAACTACCTTCACCCTCGCTTGTATTGCAAGTTAGCAACATGCAAAATCCTCTGTGCTCACATGATAAAGTGCCGAACATGGATGAGGCTTTTGGGCTGTTGACCATGGTGCCACACTACAGAGGTGATTATCATTTGCATTCAACATGATGCACCGGCCTCAAAGCCTTGGTGCTTATAAAAACACCTGGAGATCATTTGTGTTCATTTGGCTCTCCTATTATTTGACCTGAGCAGCACACCAGAAGTGTTGCCCTGTCATCATCACCCTGTTAGCAACAATGATTGCCTATCCTTCGAACGCCATCCACTGTTCAAACCACCCGAGCCAGTCAATAAATCAAAGCCCCTCAAAGGAGCTGCAGGGCAGTGTTTCTTTCGGGATCATATGAGGGAAACAATCTGACTCCGCAGCTCGGTGTGTGTGGCTGACTCCCTCGAGAGAAGAGAGGGAGAGGAGAGAGAGGAGAGAGAGAGCGAAGAGAGATTCCTAGAGAGATAGAGAGCGGACTCTCTCTCTCATCTCTCTCCTCTCTCTCTCTCTCTCTCTCTCTCTCTCTCTCTCTCTCTCTCTTCTCTCTCTCTCTCTCTCTCTCTCTCTCTCTCTCCCCCATCCCCTTATTTGCCTGAGACACCATTCCCTGGGCACTGGACTGGCCGTCACAGTTTGCATCAAGCCTGAGTAAACATTTCACAGGTGAGCGCCTGTATTTGCATCTTCCTATCGCCAAGCTCACCACATGCGGACATGCACACACACACACACACACAACTCTGCGCGCAATTACACAGACAGACATGTCCGCCTTAAACGTGCCCTTATGTTAACAAACAAAATCAGTTTCTCCCATATGCAAATGATGCAAACCTCCGGTCGTATGTTGGTTACACGCTTGACTGTGGACTAGTGGACTTCTTGAGCTGAGCAGAAAGGAGGAGGACTCCACCCTTGGTGTTACAGGATTAAAAGTGTGTGGCGCTATGCTTGAGAGCTAGAGAAGGAAAGAGAGCGCTGGAACACTATGTTCTCTATAAAAGCCCTGATTCCCGGCTACCCGCTTGCTCGACTGCGAACATCACAGACAGCAGACTGTGCCAGCTCGCCCTCTGGGGTCCATACCCTCTCCTGTCCCTGCAATTTAGTCAACACGTTTCAGATGAGCCTAATGGAGATCATGTGTGGTGGGCCGCAAAGGTTACAGGCAGCTACTAGCAGGCTCAGTTAGGAAGACCCTCTCTGCCAAAGATACACCACCGTTACCACAGCCACGACGGCATAGCCTGTACTTACACTGGGTGGGGGAGGGTGGGGATGCCGATGCAGTAAGGTATGCAACATGGTTAAGAGTGAGGAAAAGAAGACATAGCTCTCGATTACAAAGCAGTTTGTTCAGCCCTCTCCTCCAGAGGGAGCTCCTGTACTGTAGAGGCTTGAAATGTGGGAGCAGGCTCCTGCTGGCTCAGGGCCGAGCGCTTGATACTGCACAAGCCCATTAAGGTGTTGTGATAAGTGTCCAGTCCAGTTTCTCCTGACAGAACACAGGAGTCGATCCCCACCGCAGTTTAGCCAACACGTTTCCACCGACTCCAATTAAATGGAGATCATATGGGCTGCAGTAGCCAGAGCCATCAAGTCCCCGCGCCACACATCCCCTCCCCGGCTTCCCCCTGAAGCCTACATTTAGCACAGACAGAGGGAGATGAAGGGACAGAGAGACAGAGAGGGAGAGAAAGTGAGAGAGAGCAAAGGCGTTTGGGAGTCCAGTAGGAATTGGTGGGCCGACTGCACTTCACCCGAATCAACAGCAGCTGAAGTCTCAGATTTTCCTCGCGTGAAATCCGATATGGAGCCCGACTCCGGTGCCTGGTAGACTCTGGAAAAAGAAACACCCCCCATACCACCACCAAACTCCCTCATCCCAAAAAGAGGAGGAAATTCAACTGCAGAAGTGTGTTGTTGAAAAAAAAAAAAAGACAGAGTAAAGCAGGGGCCATGGAAATTGCAAAGGAACAGATTTTTTTTTTGCAGCTGAAAATGGACCCAGTACTCCAGACATAGGGAAAAGACATTTAAATGAGACTATGGCACGCAAGTTTGGCATTCTCCCCCCCTAAGGGCAATGGCGTGCAAGTGCTTGCTATTTCACAAATACAAGCTCTCTTTTCTCTGCCATCCAAATCCACATTTTACACTTGCAGTCATGTGGGCACTTTGGACCCATGAAAGCCATATGCGGACAAACAGATAACCATGGACGGAGGTGTGTGTGAGTGTGGTTACAGGCAGCAGATGTGAAAGGAGAGTGTGTATGTTGACAGGTATGAGCAACTCGGCCTCATCATTTTGTCTCTGTAACCATGTTAAGGGCGTTTGCCGTATTTGGGCCTGGCTGTTTGCCACATGACCTATCTTGCAAAGTATCTGCTGGAGTACAACGACTGACATGTCTAACTCGTCAGGCAAGACTTAACATTTCACACCTCAGAGATCATTCTAATGCAGTGTTGATTTGTATGATGTGCATTGTTTGAGCACATAAAACGGTTGTGATGCTTGTGTGTCACAGTGACAGTTGCTTTGCATTGAAAAACTACCTCAGTAGAAGAAGTGACAATCAAAGATGTTTTCTTAATGTTACGTACAACTGATCAAATATCTTCTAACGAACATAATACAGCAGAAATATGAAACAATAATTGTCCCTGCATAAGAGTAACAAAAACACATACTACAGTAGGTTGCAGCAGGCGGTGTTCCAAAGTCCTACATGACTGCAGGAACTGTGAATGGGTTCATATCTGAAACTGAGGCTGTAAGATCAGCCAATAATACTCCTCAGTTAGTAAGTAGGGCAATATGGTGTTTGAGTTAAGGAGTTAAGTTGGTGACAGTAGCAGCCCCAAATCTCAGAGAAGCAAACTGCCAAGTCAAACCCTCGAGCAATATTTATTTTTCCCCTTTAGTCAGCTGAGTAAATTATAAAGTGTGCAGTGAAATTGAAGTCCTTACAGCTGGGTTCACAGGGCTCTGCTACCTGTGAGATTACACTTAGCAGTTAACTCTGACAGGTCCTGGACTGTGATACACATTAGCTTAGAGGATATTCACATAGAAACACCCGTTTTCTTTTTTCTCTTCCTTCCTTCTTTCCTTTCCTTTTCCCCTCTGCATCTCCCTGTCTGTCTCTGATTGTGACTGTCTGCGTCTAACAATGATTTATGAGTTGCACAACAGTGCAACAAGCAGTCGGTGTTTATACAAAGCACCCCTCAGCACTGACAATGCCTCTTTTCATTGCTCCGAGAAAGACAGAATAATGTGCTTTGCTCTCCTTTGGAAGGGGTGGTAGGAGGGCTGAGGCGAGGGGGCCTTTTCATAACTTCAGTCTTGTGCACTGGGCTGTGGGATGATGTGCTGTCAGTGCTTGATGACTGTTATTAAGCAAAGAAATGTCTCAGTTCATTACTTTGAGCAAACATTTCCATGGACAGACATATCGGAGGAAATCAGAATTGGGGGTTTGGAGAGATTTGCTGTACCAGAGATCAGTGTTCTTTTTAGAAAATAAAAAATGCTGAATGCTTGTCGACTCTTTCCAACATTTTGTTTTTGTTTATGCCTACAGGTAGTACTGACATCTTCAACCAGAGGAACAGCTTCCCGTCACTGTCGCCACTGACTGACCCTCGCTTCTCAGACCCCCGGATGCACTACCCCGGGGCCTTCCCCTACTCCTCCAACACCTCCAGCTCCGGCATCAGCGGCCTCAGCATGTCGGCCTCTTCTAGATACCACACCTATCTGCCGCCGCCTTACTCAAACAACCAGAGCCAGAACTTCCAGTCCAACTCCTACCTGTATTACGGCGCAGGCTCCGGATCCTACCAGTTCTCCATGGTGGCGCCGGGCAACACCGGGGGCGAGCGCTCCCCCACCCGCCTGCTGTCCTGCTCCGGGGCCACGGGAGGGACCAACAGCCTGATGAACCAGGGCCTGAACAACCAGAGCGAGGGCGTGGAGGCCGACGGCAGCCACAGCAACTCCCCCACCACCATGAGCGCCTCGGGCCGCTTGGACGAGTCCGTCTGGAGGCCTTACTGACTGACAGACGGCTAGACAATCAGAGGGGTGCAGTGAGGGCGGAAAAGTAAAGAGGATAATGAACAAAAAAACACTGAAAGCAACAAAAAAAGCAAAAAAAAAAGAGAGAAATGCTGCATGTTTTTCTTTTATTTCTCCGGCAATAGCTTTAAAAACAGTTTTTAGCAACTCTGTCAAGACATCCATGTATTTTGTACATTTCTGAGTAAACTCCTGCACTGTGCTGAAACATGTACTCTTAAAAAGGACTATCAAAGCCATAGAAGTGAGGAAGATGTTCAGCTGAAACTGTAAATAGACATGAAGGCAGAACCAGAAAAGCCATAGCAATGAAACGTTTCAGCGTCCTTTGTCCGATGTAAACAGGTACTGATGAAAGAACAGAAGACGATGGAGGCATGATCCATCAGTACAGCTGATGAAGTGAAAAACCACAGCAACAGTCGGACTGGACTGAGTGACTGACATCCTTCCAAGGCACCGCTGCACTGCTGTAGCAAACAGCCTTTTAAAGCTTTACATTTGTGTAAAAGTTGAATATTACGTCAGTTGTGAAAACTTGTTCAGTTTCATCCAGGGCTATGTGCTCACAGTACTTATGCAGTACCTTATTGCCTAATTTATTATCCGAATGGACACATTAGCCTTTGGTGCTACAGTGTGCAGTTGACCTTTCAACACAATCGCTGCATCTTTCAGAGTAAAGCATTTTATCCGTCACATGTTTAATGATACATTCTCCTCTGCCGCGTCACCAGTGTATCGAGTTTCAACAGGACAATGGCTGATATTTGGAGGAATGTAAAAGACTTATGCAGAGGGGGGTTCATTTGTTTCTTTTTCTGCAGGAATATGTAAGTCCTGCTGTGTCAACTCTGTTTCTTACATTTCTATCCAAGCTCTTTTCTGAAAAATAAGTCTTGGTCTGGTATTTTTTTAACTGGATGACACGGTTTACTTTTGATATTTATTTGAGCCAAATTGTGAGGAAATGTGCACGTATACCCAACATCCTTAAGCATTTCTCACTAGTTTCCTTTTTATATATATACAGTATATATGCCTTATTTTGTTGTTAAGTATACATTTGGAATTTGTGTAATATATTGCTACTAAATTATGAAAAAAACTAAACATTTAATGTAATTATTTTGTTTTCCAATGTAGCTTTGATGCACTAAAAAACTTTTATTCCTTATGAACCACGCCCAACAGATTCTGTTAGTGAGAAGGTGTATCGAGCCCTTATCCTTTAGACAATTTCCAATTTGCCTTTCTGCGCTAAATAAGCCATTTGCTTCATTTTTTGCACTATGTTTGTTTTTCTTTTTTGGTTATGTATTTACAAATATCTGAAACTATGCCAAAGTAAATATTGAAATATTCCGTCACGTGTATTTGCTGAACACACTTATGTGTCCTTTTGTAAGAAACCCATCGCCAAGTAACTAATGATGTCATGATTAGACACATTCACACACACACATTCCTGCACCACAGGTGTGTGTGCACATTCCCCCCGTCCTGAGGGCCTTTCGCCTGCAGGTACACATGTGATCCCTCCATCCCTGGTTAGGAAGAGTGTGAGGATGAAGGGATAGAAAGAGGAGGAGGGGGCACAGCGGTATCTTCTTACCAACACCAAAGGCAGTTATGCAAAGGAAAACCCCCTTGTTGTTCCAGGTCCCTTTGTTCTGTATAATCAGTGAAGGCTTTGAAGCCTGGTCCCGATTTAGACATGTTTGGTCTAATTGACTGATCAGCAGCAGCTCATGCTGTACCAATCATGTATATGCCTGCACAAAAGGCAGATATCATACATCTCATATCTACTAGAAGACTCATTCACAAGAGAGAATACATCTGAAGTATGGAATATATGTAGTTCCTACAAAAGTTAGATATCATTTTTGAATGACCCATAAAAGCGTGCACTTGCAGCTCAGGTAAAACAAATGTGCAAAGTGTTTTGTAGATCTCACATGAAGACAATCAGTAACAATGTGTCATTCCTATCTCCCTCTGATCAGGAGGGAAAGCGTGTATCCCTGCTCCCTCCTCTGAAGCCTTTTTACGGTAGAGGACCTACTTTATTATGGGCAAAAATCATGCAGCTAGAGAAACCACATGTGTACTTATATCCATGTGGTTCCTTCAAGAAAACCAAAGATCTTCACAACTGCCTGTAATAACGTCAGGATGACTTTTAATAGCATTCTTTATGCAAAACTAGGAAGCCAAATTGTACAAGTGATGTGTATTTTATTGTATATTAGATTAAAGAGCACAATGTAACTTTTTCTGTTTTGTTCATCTTTTTTATAAAGATGCCCCTTTTCATATACCATCATCTTTGCTCCTTTCATTTCTCCTGATGCTCAAGCATGTACATCTGAAACTGATATGTTAATTTAAGAATCTCATCCGTGTATGTAATGATGTTGTTGATGCCTACATATTGAGTGCTTGTAAAGTTTGCGGATAATGTCGTTTTGAATCATTTTAATTAAAAAACACATGTCTCACTTTCGTCTTTACAGCTGTATTTAATACAAATGTCTTTAAAATAGTAGAACTAGTAAGTCAAAATGAACTCCAGGAGAGAGTGACGACAACACGTAAATTTTTCTTCAAAAAGGTCAGGTCTGCATCCTTGAGAAAATCACACCCACATTAGATTTCAGTTCAGTATTTATGGCCACATTCTTCAACATTATTCGCTTTACTATAATAAAAAAAAGATTTCTTACAATAACAAAACTCTCATTTTGAAACTCAATGCGAAAAAGTCTGGATTTGTGGTCTTTTATGGTTTAACAGGGGGAGGTATTGAGAGTGGAAACATAAAGGCAAAGGGTATAATTCACCTGGAGAAACCCAGACGCCATCACACCATCACACCAGCTGACAAAAGAGCAGAACAAAAGATTCATGAGAGCAAAATCTATGCCAGCACATTGTGGTCCAACTATTCCTTCTTTTTTAGCCACAGTAAATGCCATGCATGCCATTAGCTCCATCTCATAACCCTGGAAGTTCATTGGCAGCCCGTTCTCAATAACCCCTTTTAATAACGATCCTCCTCTCTGCCATTAGTAAGACTCTCGATGGCAATTACCCACACTGCTCTGGGGTTTACAAACGCCTCGGCTGTCAACACGGTGGTACGGAGAGCGTAAATAAGGCGCAGCTCAGGAATCCTACACCGCCCTGGCAGCCTCGGTGTAAGTGCGCGTCGGCAAGTCGTCACTTGTTAAAAACAATACGGGAGAAGTTTGGAATGCCGGCCGTCTATTTGACCAGCTATTTGGTGGTTCATTGATGCGGCGGTGATGGCATCTGTTGGCCCTATTGAAGCCGAGCCACAAGATTAAACTCTTGAGATGCTGCTACCTTGTGGGGTGGTCCGATTTCAGATGTCTCATGTGGTTAACCTGAAACACAACATCCACAATGCCTCCCTCCTAAACTAATGCCACCTGTTGATGTGCCATGAAAGGGCTTTCACTTATAAACGCTTTGTTCTTCTACTTCAAATTAGTCACTCTTTTATTTTCCCTGTCTATACTCTCCTGTAGTATCTACTCGTCTCTTTTCTTTCCTCCTTTCTTTCCTTCTGTGTGGCTTTTATTTTGTCTGCGTCAGGCCTGCCTTCCATGGGGGCAGTGTTGGCAGAACAACAAAGCCTCAGGACGCACACACACAGCCTTGATACACACTGTATTCAATTAACTCTGCACACTCAAAGCATATCCCCGCACACACAATCCCCTGCTGACAGATCTCACACCAGGCTCCGCACAGACATTACTGAGCTCTACTTCACAGCGCGAGCGTATGACAGATCTGCACCGTGTTAAAACATTCCCCACTATTTCCTCCAGGTCTCATCACAGAGTTGCTCTCCGAGTCTCTCCCCGCTGATATCTGGCCGCTCAGGAAGCACAAAGAGAAGATGATAAGCTTTCAATTAGGCCAGGCTCAGGGGAATTTTACAGCTGTCTTCGCACACTCTGTGAGAGCCGACTCTCTAGTCCACATGTGGGGAGCAGAGGAGCGCTCATCTGGCTCCGTCTTTGTCATGGACGTACGTGAGCCGAGCTGCCTCTTTTCATCTCCCCCCTCTTATGTCGTTCTTCTTCCGAAAATTGTAACTCTCCAGGAAAGAGGGGAAATGTTTGCCTGGAGAAAGCTGCTTGTCTGGATGCAATTTTAGTCAAAAGGCGTGATTAATTGGTTTATAATACGACTTGTGAAATAGCTTTTTAAGTGGATAAAATAAAAAGGAGAACTGTAGGCATGATAATGTCATGATTATACACAGGCAATACAAATATAAGACAATGAGAATCATTGAGGAATACGTTGGCAAGTCAATCATGTGTTCTAATGAACAGCAATGTCTTTTGATTTTCTTTTGTAACAGGACCAAGCCTTGTCCCTCACACGACTTTATCTTAGATTCATCAGAAAGATGAGAAAGGTTAAAGCCCTATTTATACATTCAAATGAGAGACAGAGAGAGGAAGAGAAGCAGGAGGAGAATAAAGGAGAGGGAGAACAGAGTGAGGGAGTGTTTTGGAAAGAGCACAGGATTGCTAAACCCTCTCATTTCTCATGAACACAGTATCCCGTGTCGCTTCTGCGGTACCTGCATACGAAACCCATTAGGGCCTCTTCTGCAGCCGCTGACCTCTCCCCCCTCAAACCCGTGAGAAGGAGCGGGCTTGGACCGGCTTGGTTTGGATGCCTGGTACACGACCAGAAGTCTATTTTCTAACTAGACTGGTGGTGGGAACAGAGGCTACCGTCCAAAAATCAGGGTTCCCACAGATTGACCGAGAAACACAGGGGCCAGGGGGCTAAGAAACCACGAGAGCTATGATGCAACCGTTCTCACACTGATGACTAGTGCTGCCTCGTCGACAGGGAGCGGGGTATGGAGGGAGAGACGAAGGAAAGAGAGAGAAACAGGGTTCTCCTAGTTCAGAGGGATCCCAGTGAAGGTAGTTTCTCATCCATGTTGGGTCTACAGAGACTGCTCCGTGTTCCGATACATCAGGCTCATATCAGTTCCCACAGCAGAGCACTGGGTTCCCGCTCAGACCCAGAGGATCTCTAAAGGCTTACGGAAGGCACTCGCAGAAACCGTCTCACTATCGGCTCCATCTAGAGAGCTGACCGTGTTGATTCAACGCTGATAGTGTGTGAGAGGGAATCGCTGTGCGACCCTAAAAGATGAAATATTAGATCTGAAAACGGCAAGAGCAGAACTACTGCACGTTCGCATTATTAATAGAGCAGAAATGATAGGTCATTTAATTGATTGGTCGATCAATAGAAAACTATTTGTCAGCTTCTTTGATTGTTGATTAATTGTCAAAATCATGTTAAAAAGCAAAGCCTCTCTGTTTCCAGCTTCTTAGTTGTTGGGATGTTCTTCTTTGTATAATGTGACATGATGTACTTTATATTTTGGAATGTTTTAGAAAATGACCTTTATTTTAGTTAACTGCAATGGAGATTATTTACAATAACAATATTCCAATTATCAAAAAATATTCAGCGGAATATAATATATAACATTTTAAACAAGTTGAAGTTGAAGCCATAATTATTACAGTTTCCTTGAAAAGTGTTTTTAGACTGTGTGGCTTGCACATATTTTTAAAAAAAATCATAATTTAAACAATTTCAGAAGATCCTTAACTGTCAAGATAGCAGTCATACAAAGAAGCCATAGTACTAATAAGAAAAAGACTTCGCTGTAAACTATCTTCTGCTAAACTTAGACCGAGTCACCCTTCCCCACTGATCTCGTCATAGGAAACCAAGACACATCAGAGAAGGCCTTTACACTTTTATTTGCAGGAAGCCAACAGACCAGTGGATGGTGGACCTGCGGCCCGGACCATGGTTAGAGGGGATTCTGGCTCAGACCACATCAGCTCACTTTAATGTGTCTGCTCCAATGGCTTGGATTTAGATTCTTGTCGCTGCATAACGACCACAGTTTATGTGTCGAACCTATCTAGCCTAATGTGATTAGTGAGATGGGAAAAAAGTAGAGCATTTGATATGAGAGCATATAGTGTTAAGGATTGTTTTGATCTTTGCCTGGAATAATGACATGAGTTGCTTTTCAAGTTTAATTTGGACATTGCGTTTGCACTTTACCAATGAACCACCAAAATATGTTTCACTAAGAGAGCAGGGCAGCTTCCCAGAAACAATGTTAGTTGTTTCCCATACAGATTCATGAGAATTGACCAACTTTTTTTCTGTCCTTTTTTTCTCAGAGAAAATCTGAATAACGATCTCTACGCGAACACTGCTTCCTCTATAAAACAGGAAATTAACATACACACATACACACACGCACGCACACACACAGCACAAACCCCACACACTCTAGCTCTCTGCCAGGCTTTCCTCCATCACGGTGGGGTCCTGAGTGGGGGGGTGCTGGGGGTAAGGAGGCGAGAAAGGGAAACTGAGATCCCTGTGGACCAGGTCTCTGCTCACTTCCTGCTTAAGCAGGGGAACACACAAAATAGGCGGTTCACATACACACTTTCTATCTTTCTATCTTCCCTACTTTTTTCATCCATGTACGCAAGTAGTGAGTGAAATGGGGATGATTGCTCAAGTCTGTTTTGGATCATGTGGGAACATGAGCGTCATTGAAAGCTTGCACCTTCCCATTATCTTTTCTTCCCACTAGCAGCAGAAGTCAGATGCCTGTTTGTTGCTAAGATCTAAGTCTTTGTCCTTCAGACGTTAAATGTCATCCTGGGACTGACCACCATTAAGATGACTAACACTCTTTTACTAGTAAGCGCTCATGTGGCTGTAAAAAACGAATCTGTGAAAACCGCTAAAGCACCACAGACTTACAGCCTCCTCTGCCCTATAAACTGTTAGAAGACAACATTAAAGACAACATTTTCCTATTCCTCTCATGTGTCACTGAACACATGAGCTTTGCAAGAAATGTGTCTGTCATCATATTTCCAACAGTCCTTTTTATCGCTGTTGCTTTTTTGGCCCTTTGATTTGAAAACATTACAATCACAGTAATCGAAGACAAGTCTGAATAAATCAAGCTACTGCTTACACCTAATAAAGTGTCAGCTATTGTTATTGTTAGACAGGTGAGGTGACTAGAAGTCATTGCTTGGGTGTTTCTGTCTCCAGTCTGCACTGTGTGTGTGGGGCAGTATTACACACCCCCGTGTCTGGCCGTGGCTGCCCTGCAGGCCTCTGCTAACCCGTTCCCATGGTTCCACTATAGCGACTGTGGACTTCCTCAGGGGACACCTCCCACTCACTGGTTTGTTTTCATCCTTAATGGGAGCTCATCTTACACTCTTTATGGTGTGTGCGTGTGAAGTAAACAGTTTGTGTGTGTTTCTTTTCTGTGCATGCACCTGCAAGGACAAAGGCATGTCATCAGGTATGAGTGTGTATGTTTGTGAGCTTACACAAGTCTGTACAGCATACATGTTGTGTGTGTGTGTGTGTGT